TCTGATTTAGGATAGAGTCCTGCGGCAATTTCTTTCCAAGAGTGGAGTGAATATCCGGATTCCATAGTCTATGAGATATTTCAGTGTCAGCTGAAGGACTATCAGCTTATCAAGAAGTGATCTACTATACTAAATCACTTCAATGTGAATAAAGAAAACTCTGTGGAACAAGGTTCGAACAATTAGTGTTAATTGGATTTTTACAGTCTCACGTGCAACACTATGTTCTATAAAATTTATTAAAATATATTCTCTTTAAAAGTCCATCACTCTATATTTCGACCAATGTGGTCATCATCAGGCGTTAAAATTAATGGGCCAAGAAACTTCTGTCTTTTCTTGTTGCTTAAATTGTTAATAAGCCCTCTCGAGGCGCATGTGTGAGTTGGTGGGTTGTGTTCTCTCCTGAGGTGGCGTATTTCCATTTCAGACTCTTTACTTAAGTCCTGTTATTCAAGAAACTATACATATCAGGGCCCGTTAGAAGTGTAGCTCATAGCCTTTAGCAGATTGCCCTGACCAACACCGGCAACTTCGGGTATTCAAAATGATTGCCCATCACAAATTGGCCATGCTAACGTGGACAATTGCAGTAGAGTAGCAACAGCCATTTAATATACTGCCATTACTTCAGAGGTGGTCCCATTTCATGGGAAGGGCAAGGAGTGTTGCGTGCAGTTACGCTGGAGTTTAAATTTCAAATTAACTACACAGTCGCTAAATTGCTGAATAAATTTCCAGCCACTTAAGAAGCTTTTCGTTTCATTCTGATTAGCAGGGTGCGCCTCTGGACCCTCTCGCTGGATCATTGAATCCATTTTGCATAATCACATTCTGTTATTTCAAGTAAATGCAATACCCAGAAGTCTCACAAGTGGTCTCATTTCTTGAGCTTTTCCAAATAAAATGTTGTGTAACTCTCTGCTCTCAAATACGTATTGTATGTCCTGGAATCTTGTCTTCCTTGGTTTGATCACATTAATACAATGACCCAGGAACTTCACTTCTTCCCGGTAAAAACGGCATTCCACAGCATTTAAAGTGAATCCGGCTTTGGTTGATCATTGAATGGTCGTGTCGAGATGCATCAAATGCCCCTCGAATGTGCGACAGTGAACCAGAATGTCATTAACGTAGAAAACCATATAGGTTTCAGTGCCACTTCCCAAGGTCAGCTTAAGAGCCCTTGGGATCGTAAGGGACCCTCTTGTACTGATACACAATAGAACCAAAAAGGAAAACTGTGTACTTTCTAGAATTTTCGTGAAGTTCTACCTGTAAATAATTTGAGTTTAAACCCAATTTCGCCTCCTGATTGAATAAGTTCTACCGGAATTTGATCACTACCTGTCGATTTATAACTTTTCAATTTTGCAATAACAATTTCAACTTCAGATGGGCTAGGATCAGGTACTAGTGGCTCAGCTGTATGGATTTCTGTCTGCCTATCATCACTGGCCCTATGTACGTTCAATAACCGAGAGTAGTAGTTCTTCCACCTTTTCAAAATGTTGTGGGACTCTGCAAGCAGATCACCGTTCTCATCCCTCAGTAAGTTACTGCTAGGCTGGTAACCCCCCTTAAATATGTCTGGTGAAGAGTAAAAATTTTTAAACTCTTGTTAGAGTAAATATCTTAAATGTTCTTTTATGTGCTCTTTCATAGGTCCAAATGTTCTTCTCATACATGTTCTAAAACACCCCCATTCCTGGTTGTTGCGCAGGGCGAGAAAACAGATTTAATACAAATATCATTCAAAAATAATAATAGTAACGATAATAATTTTTAAAAATAATTAATTCCTTATGTAAGTCTGTTGTAACTGCAATAGTGAAAGATCACAGAATTTGACTCAGACCGCACTGTCAGAATGTTCGTTCATTCTATGTAAAAAATGAAAGTGAATAATATAAATAATAACAATATACTATTATTAATATTAAGCGTAAGAATACCCACGAAACAGATGCTGGTAGGGGATAGATTCTAGGATGAAAGGTAAAGGTAAAATTGTCTCTGTAACCGACCGGGGAGGCCCATAGATTGTGAGACGTCGTGGCTCCCACATTATCTCTAGACAGTCGGCTCACAGATGGCTGTGAGGTTGTTAGCCTTACGCCCCGACTGGCCGCTTTTTACCCCCAGGAAGTTTCCTGGTACTCATTTCTGTTAAGAGGCTCAGTCGACCCCAGGGCCATAGTGCGGCTGGAAGTATTAAGTCAGTTGAAAAATCCACCTCATCGGGACTTGAACCCGCGACTTTCTGGCTTATAGCATAGTGCCGCAACCAACTACCCTACCCCGTGCCCCCATTATTCTAGTATCATATAAAATATATAAAGTAGTCCAAGGAAGAGAATTAGTGAATTGGTATTGGGATTAGTCTACGGGCTGCACTTTCGGAGATCTGGAGTTCTTCCTTTAGACCACCACGCCCAGACCAACACTGGTGCCCAGCCGGCCTCCTATCCAACCAGTATCGATAGTTGTTTCCTCGAGGGTAAAGCGATCGGTAGGCGATGTCAACCACTCTCTTCCACCTAATGCCGAAGGTTAAGAACGAATGGAGCTATACCTCCACAAGGATAATGGAGGGCTGTAATGCCAATCCTTTACGGGTTCGCTCCTATCCCCAGTCGGTATAGCGATAAGCTAGAGGCCTGACGGGGTTCGTTTTCAGGCAGGGAGAGAAATTTTTCACCATTCCACAGCGCCCAGGCCGCCTCCGGAGTTCAACCAGCCTCCTAACCAGTGGTTACCTGGGATGAAACGGCCGGAAAGTGAAGAAAGTGAAGTTGACCACTTATCCATCTAATGCCAAGATCAAGATTAATAAGTCTACACCTCAAATCCCCCGTACGTCTTCATGGCTTTGTGCTTATTTCATTTGGCCCAGGAAAACTTTACGAGTACCAAGCGACAATAAAGCAGATAGAATAAGTTGCCCATAAGTGTAAACTGGAATAGCATCCCATTAGCTTTTCCTGAGAATTTCGTAACTTTTGAAAGCTATGATCTGGAGAAACGCATTGTCTTCATTCATTCCACTTACCGGATGTCCTGCTGCAGCCGTCAGAGAGTAGAGACCTCTAGTTCTTTGTTAGGTAACCATGAGCAAATGTTAAGTTTCTAAATATTTATCAAGGTCGAGATCACTTAGAGGGACCCTGTGACCTTCAGATACTTCACCAACAGCTGTTGTCTTAAAAAGAAACAATCTGACATCATGCCGGAACTAGGTAAACGGGTGGGTACTTGTTGACAATTCTTTTACTGCAGTGCTACATAACAATCATTCTCTCGCTGTACTTTTTAAAGTAAATCCAAGAGATTCAGTACAGCAGACTTGTCTCTGCCGATCACAGTGGCCCAGCGGGCTAAGGCACGAACTGTCTTCGCCCGCTTGAACACTGAGGTCGTGAATTCGAGTCCCACTCAAGGCAATGATGCCTGTTTGCGTTTATTCTATATTTGTGTTGTCCTGTCTGTAGGTAACGCTCTTGCGACAGGCTGATCCCCCTGCCAAGGAGCCCTACCGACTGCGAATAAGATTAATAATGTGGAAAGGCGGCGAAGGTCCAGCAAAAAGACTGTAGAGTCATAAATAGATGAATGGATGGGTTGGTGGATAGGTAGATAAGTAGATAGATAGGTAAATGGGTAGATATTTAGATAGGTAACATTAATATTAACATGATAATTTGATAAGTGTCAGTGTATAGCCTGAAATTGTTGCACAGTCAAGTTTTTATCATTTTACTTTGGCGTTTCTATGTCCTATTCGGATTCAGAATTGATTTTCTGAAGACTGTGTTTACAGAAAGTTTCATCACATTATGCTCATAGTTCGGGAGGTCATTCCTGAGGCCACAAACACATTTCGATTCTCGTTTTTATGGAGCGTGGATTTTAAAATTTAAGAATGATTTGTGGACATGTAAGTTGTTTTCCTGAAAAAGTACTGTCACGTGTTGGGTGGTATGCGTGGCGAAAATAACGGGATCTAGTTCGGATAATTGTATTTATTAGCACCTCGGTTACACACTCTCTCTCTTAATTAGAGTCAATACAGTGCTATCGTTGATTTACACATTTTACAGTTCACCAATTAACACGCAGCAGGCAACGGATCTCAACACAGAAACTTGCATTTCAAAACACTATGAAGTCTTCTTGTTATTTCGTCTTTAGTTACTGTGTACTCCTCTGTCCTAATCTTTACTCAATTGCTCTACATTCCTCCAGCTTACGACTGACTGCAGACGACCTTTGTTGTCTACTACAGACCTTCGGCGCGAAGCTACAGAAAACACGTCACGTGGTCTCTATCCACTGGTGAGTGACGTCACTAGAAACTGGTTGCATAACCCGGTGTTCTGCGGTTGCGAGCGAGTAGCGAGGGGTGTTTATCAAGCCGTTGCCTGCCAATGCGTTGACATGTCACAGTATTTAACATTTTACACTTAAGTAAAATTTCGAAGTGGCCTCCCTGAGCATGCAGACATGATTTAATTCTCTTTCTATTGATCATGCATTAAAATAATTTACATATGGAAGCTAAACTAATTATATGACGCAGGAGACGTAAACTACCCTGCATCTCTTGTTAGGTCTTGTCATTCAATATATTTTTAATGGCCTTTAAAAGCCACATAGGTTGTATAGATTCAAATGGTAAGTTGATTGTGGATGTTGACTCGGGGAGGACATTGTCTGTTTTAAAGCACTGTCAAAGAATTTTGCTTGATATAGTAGGAAAATCTCAAATATCGCAGACTTCAAGTCGATATTAGAAACTGGCATCTCCAAGAAAATGATCTGCAATGTTTATCCACTATAGGAGAACGTTCGCTGAAGTATTTACTGTATCCTGTAGGGGAAGGGAGCTGCCACATTAGAGGCAATATACACCTAGGTACATATATGGAAGTTCTTACATGTAAGCATATGTTCTTACGTAAGTACTCTAAATCATGTGCTTCCTCATGTTTATTTTTCAGAATCCGCTTCTTCGCATGGATATGAAATATTCCTGCAAGTTTCGCTTCACGTAAGGAGGATGTTCTCGCCTTAAATTTGAGTAAGTTTTCTTTTTGATCACTTTAGAGGAACACATGAACGGAAAATTTCTTGAGAAGTTAATCAGTTAATCACAACATTCTCGTCTTTTAATGACGCCTAAGGCTTGTTATCGCAGTCAAGTAGAAATACATTTATGTATTATGCCCCTGTCTATTGCTGGATTATCTGATGTGTCCCTACGTTTTATATTTCCCATCAGTTAACGATATACAGCCGATCATAGGAGTGAACTGTCTTCGCTCGCTCGAATGCTGGGATCATGGGTTCGAATCCCATTCGAGGCATGGATGTTTGTGTGTGTTTATTCAGTGTTTATGTTGTTCTGTGTGTAGGTATCGGCATTGTAACGAGCTGATCCCCCCGTCCAAAGAGTCCTACCGACTGTGTATAGGATTAAGGAACTGAGTAAGAAGCCAAGGTCCAACAAAGGGCTGTAGAGCCATAGACAAATGGCTGGTTGGCTAGATGGCTCGATAAATAGATATAGATATAGGTAGGTAGCCGATGAACATATTAGTCATATATGCTACATATCCCATTCGTTTCATGAGTAAAGTTCGTGTTTCAATAACAGACTCGATATGCTGTAACAAAGAAATGTTGTTGGCTTAAGTTATAATGTGTTCATTAGGTAGGTTAATATTCGTATTTATGGTTAAAATAAATCCATCATATTCCATATTTAAATTGCATTGTCAGTTTTATTTCTTATATTACGAAGCTACATAATCTCTTTCCAGGTATATTTCATCATTCACATATTTTAAACACCTGTGTTTCATTCTGTACCTGCGATCACATAACGCAATCTATGTAAAACATTCTCTTACATACATTCAATTAAATCCAGATGAAAAGTCATTTTAAAAAATAATTAATCTCTAGAATATAATTTTAACGTTACAATAGGAAGCCTTTGCTATTTCTGTATATACAATGAAGCTATCCATATTTTCTGAACGATGAAAGGGAAATACATGTAAAATGGGCACACTTCATCTGACGAAGGGTGTTAACTTGATGGATCAAATCCCAGTACACTGATGTAATTATAACTGTGCCCGATTTGATTGTCGTTGCATGGGCGAAGTAATTACTGCTAGGAAGATGATCACAATATGCTAATAATTATTATAGTGACTTAGCTAGAATTTTAAGAAGCTTTATATATCTCACTGATTGGTTTGTGTTATAGCTACCGAAGGTTTAAATCATGTAACATACAATGCGACACGAAATTATGCTTTCATTTTGGAATTCGTTACATAACAGTACAAGTATTAGTATGTAATGACGAGTTTGAAGTAAATAGGTCTTCAGCGAATTCAGGGATAATATTCTAAAAAGTAAGGAAAGGTAGATGTTTTTCCCCTTGGCGCTACAGCCCCAGTGGGCCTAGGTCTACCTCCATGAACTTCTCCGTTCACTTTGGTTTTTCTAGATCTTACACATTCGGTAGGACCCCTTGGGCGGGTGATCAGCTCGTCGCATGGCCTCTACCTCCACACAAACACAGAAAAACGCACACATACAAACTAAACATCCATGCCCTGAGTGGGATTCGAACCGACGATCCCGGCTTCCGAGCGAGCGAAGACAGTACATGCCTTAGACCGCTCGGCTACCGTGACCGGCAAGATAGATGATTACCATACATAATATTTCAGTGCCAGATAATGTTAAATGTCATTGTGTTCACTATTACGACGAATGAATACGAAACAGTGATATTTCGATACTTCAAAATCAGCATTCAGTTAATGCACCAGAAAGGAATGATAAAAGTTAGGGTTTAAGAGCTTAAACGCTAGTAAAAATGTTTGCTTTCAGGTCAAATTGTATTTAAAAATACCATGTTCTTGTCAAAAAATCTTACAACCATTGGAAATTTATTTTTTTCAAGACATTGTTTTGAATTATCTATATTTGTGTGGTATGGATTGGATTGATCTGGCTCAGGATAGTGACCACTGGAGGGCTCTTGTAAACACGGTAATGAACCTTCGGGTTCCATAAAATTCTGGGAAATTCTTGAGTAGCTGCAGAATTGGCGGCTCCTCCAGAAGGGCTCAGATCCAAGAGTAAATAAGTAAGTTAATAACTTCTTCACGCATTTATTATATATAAACTGCAGAATATTCTATTATATATATATATATGCTGGCTAACTCGGAACTAACTGTGAATAGTCTTCGCTGCTCCGTATCTAGCCTCGTTCCGGACAACTCAGAAAACAGCCACGTAATAGGCACCATTGTTGTCTTGTGCCGTGTGGCTAGCAAAGCTGTCTCGGAGTTGTTTACTACTGCCTAGCAACAGCGGTATCCCATGGTGACGTCACCGCTGTTAACTCACGTTGCATAGCTACCAGGATGCTGGGACTCGGCTCGCTTCGGCTCCGCTCGGCTCACTTCGGCACCGCTCGGCGCGTCAGCTCCCGGGGGCGGGGCGTCCAGCTAGCGCGACACGTCACACTGCTCGCGTCTTAAGACTGTTCGTCCTGAATAGCGTAAGAGTGCAACCCCGATCCTTTTCCTTCCCGTAGCTGTGCTTGCAGTGTCTCCTGTTGTTTCGGCTACTCTTCTTGCAGCGGCTATTCTTCGTCCGTTACAATATATATATGTTCAGTATTGTCCATTTGGACTGTCGGACAGATTTGGCTGCGTAGAGTGAATGTAATTACTCGTAGCGTCGATTTGCTTTGCTTTATTTTAATTCTACATTTCTTCGCCCAGTCATCGATGTTATTGGTGGTGGCTTGGAGTTTCATGTGTTGCTAAGATAGCTGTAACATCGGCGAAGGTAGCAGTTGTTGTCTTGTCTGATGTCGGAAAGTTGCTTCTGTAGATAAGATATAGGGCGCTTCCTAAGACACTTCGTTGTTGTACGACTGCTTCAGTTTTCCTTAAGGTTACGATTTCGTCTCTGAATTTTACTTGAAAGAGTCTCTCCTTTAGTTACGATTCTAATATCCTGTAATATGCATAGGGAAGGATTTTTCTGATTTTGAATAAGAGACCTGGGTGCCATAGTTTCTCAGATGATTGTGTGTTGTCTAGAAATGCCGCAGAGCAGTATTGTTCTTCTTATTATCTCCGTAATTCGGTCTACTCGGTAGCCGAGCGGTCTAAGGCATGTACTGTCTTCGCTCGCTTGGAAACCGGGATCGTGGGTTCGAGTCCTACTCAGGGCATGGATGTTTAGTTTGTGTGTGTGTGTTTTTTCTGTGTTTCTGTACAGGTAGAGGTCTTGCGACGAGCTGATCACCCGCCCAAGGAGTCCTACCGAATGTGTAAGATCTAGAAAAACCGAAGTGAACGGAGAAGTTCATGGAGGTAGCCCTAGGCCCACTGGGGCTGTAGTGCCAAGGGGGAAAAAAAATTGGTGTACTTCTTCTATGGTAGAGTGTTTCTGTCGAAATCCAAAATAATGTTCAGGGAGGATTGTTTTCTTCTACTATCGGGCGTAATCTCTTGAACATATATTTTTCGAAGATTTTGCTCATTATTGGGAGTAGACTGATCGGTCTATATTATTTGGTTCCCTCTAGCGGTTTAGCAGGTTTTCGGGATGATTATGATCCTCGCGACTTTCCACTGAACCGGTAAATATCCCGTTCCAATAATTGCGTTGCATGTTGTTGTTTAGATTAACAAGGAGAAGCTCTCAAAAGCCACTAATTGCCTACTGAGACGTTGCGTACGCCGCATTATTAACACAAATTGAACGTAAAAGGGCGTTGCAACAATCTATACTCTATTCCAAATATTGATCTTAGAATACTGGCACAAGACTTACTCAAGTGCATCAAGATGGGCGTGTACTGAGCTGCTACGGTACTTCTTGAAGATTGCACGGAACGAAATTGAAGACAGTGACAGCACTTAACAAAATAGGAAATTAATATCTTTTTTTATTGCCAGTGGCGTGGGACTAAGTCCTTTGCACTGCGCCCATTTCTGGCCTATTGTACCAGCCCCAGATGATAGGGGAGGGTGATTGTGGAGCAATTGGTGGAATGAAGATTGGTAGGGGATACCGAAGTACTCGGAGAAAACCTGCCCCAACGCCACTTTGTCCACCACAAATCTCACTTGACCAGACCCGGGATCAAACCCGGGCCGACGCGGTGGGAAACCAGCGACTAACCACTTGAGCTATGGGGCGGCCAAATTTATACCTTAATATCTGAAGTGCTTTAAGATATTTCGTCTGTAGAATTAATAAATGGGATGCCCATGGCTTTGCTCCCGTCATAGCCTCAGTGTGTTCTTGTCGCTGGAGTAGAAGATAGAATATTCTAAATTGGATCTTCCTGTATATTGTCGTAAATTTCTGTTCGATTAAAAATTAAATTTATCGATATGTTTTAGTGAATCTTGTACATGTATCATGGAAATCTGTCCAATCGGAGCCGAGTTGTTTCGTGTTGACAGACAGACATGACGGAAGTAATAAGTGCTTTAGGCTCGACTTGCAAAGGCGCCTAAAACAGGAGAACTATAGAACTGGAGTGGTTTTGCTCTGTCATGGCCTTCTGTTGTCTGCTGTATTTCCAAACCATTCGTGTGCCCTTACAAAAGCCGTGTCCTAGCTCAGACGGTTAGTCGTTGGGCTTACCACCTCGGCGACCTGGGTTCGATCCCAGTTCATGTGATGGAAAATTTAACGCTGGTGCAGGTTTTCTCCTGACAATTCTCATTCCACCGACTGTTCTACACTCATCATCGTCTATCATCCGGAGCTGGCACAATAGGTCAAACAGTGGTCGACGTACCAAGTGGACTCAGTCTCACCCCACCCCAAGACAGGAAAAGAAACTCTAATTTCATTGGATGAAGTGGAATATCATAACCGAATCTAACCCAGTTCATAACTACGACGTCTCCGCTGATTTGATTAATTCTGGATCCTGGAGTATTCATAGTGACCGGAAGTTGGCCAGCGGCGGTAGAAATTACGGGCGGTGGGTATGCGCGAAATCATGTGCGCGG